GGCCCCACACTCAGCCACTCCTCCCCTGCCCTCTCAGAGCACAGCAAATAGCTGTTTTGTGGCATTCAAGCTCAGGGAGGAAGGGGAACATGAGGTAGTAGAGGGAAGAAGCAGGGTGGCTGCAGAGCCCTACAGCAGGGGGCTAGAAGCACAGATCAACAACAGCTGGGAGTACAGCCCGGCAGCCAGGGACATAGCTAGCAGCTGGGGGCACAGCTCTGCAGCCCTTTGGCTATGGGGCCCCTGCAGGACTCCACAGCTTCCCTGCCTCTTCTCCCAAGTGCCCTCCCATCCCCGCTCCGCCAATGTCGGCCCCTCTCCTGCTGCAGAAAGATGCAGTTTTACGTTTTAGTCAGTAGATGGAGTCAGAAAGCTTACATCAGTGGTCTCCAACCTTTTTAACCACAAGATCACTTTTTCAATTTAAGTGCAACGTAAGATCTACCTCAAACCCAAATACCCTTTCCTGGCTTCCTTGAGGTACAGGAATGGAGGGGGGGGGGGAAGGACACCCTGACATCAGCACCTCCCTCTTCTCCCCCCACACCCTGCACGACAAACAAGAGGTTCCCAAGGGGTGCTCCAAAACAGAGGGCAGGAGCAGCATGACAGTGGGTGAAGGGGCAACTGGAGTGCCGGCATATGATAGCTTCCCTGCCAAACCAGTCAGGATCACCAGTCAGAGGCTCCAAGAAATACTGGTAGATCCCGATCTACTGGTTGGTAACCACTGGCTTAAATCAAGGACTTCCCCTTTTAAAGTTAGTTAAATGTCATCTTGTTTTACAGTTTATATATATACACACACACACACACACACACACACACACACACACACGTTTTATGTGGGGTCACAGACACACACACACACACACACGTTTTATGTGTGGGTTTTATTCAGTTTTCCTAGTTTTCTCAGGGCTTTAATTGGAAGGATCTCTATAATCAACTATGCAATGAGACACATCCTTAAAGGCAATTCACACTTTGATTGGCTGGAGTTGCAGTGGCTCCTTTTGTCCTACCTCAGATTACAATTTATCTACCTTCTATCATATGCAAAGTAACCAGTCTATAATAAAAAAGAGATAAGGATACATTAGATATGGTCAAAATTCTTCTAATTTTCATAAAGACAACAATTAAAAAACATCAGGTTTTTTTCTATTTTTTCTTTTCCTGTTACACTTAGAGGATGATCAACATTTTAGTTTTAATTAGATGCTTCTGGCAACTTTCTTTCTGTGCTTTTCAATCTGCACCAGTCCCCACCCTAGAGAGACCACTGAGCCTCCACATGCGATGATGTTGCATTTGGAACCATTTACCAATAGATACCAGATTTCATGCCTGGTCTCCCAGCCTCCAAGGAGACTCAAGCAACATACTAGCTTTTATGATGTGGGGCTCTGCTCTTAACATGAGGTGGAGGGGGAGGAACACTATAGCTGTAGCGGGAATGTGATTTGACTATGTAAAGAAATATACCTTGTGCTATGATATTTGAAAGCCTGGAGTCTCTGAATTCAGAGTATGCAAACTCAGACCTCCTGACAAGACAGCTCTAAGCAACTATTTTGCTCTCTCTAGTGATAGTCTATTCTCATTTCATCTTTTTTTTTTTTTTTTTTTTTTAATTTGGAAGTCTGAGAGGAGAATTTCCTGGCGCTGCCTTGGACTTTTTCCACATTATTTTCCCTAAATTCAGAGAGTACTCCTCAGCTCAAAGTTTGCTTGAAATCCAAAGCTAGCACAGAAAATCTTTGGGGAGCTAACCTAAGTCTGCTTAACCCTCTATGGGAAAGTCCAAAAGGTGTACATTCTCCTTACGGGTCTCCCAAGCCCACTGCACATCTGAAGAACCAGCTTCTTAGAGGCTGAATACCTCTGAAGAATCTCCCAATGCACAGCTTTATGGGTAATTAAAGCACTGAAGAAGAGATACATGTTAAAATGGGAGCATGTTTGCCCTACCCTTCTAAGCCCCAGGATTAGCTATCTGCCATAGAGGAGGATTTACAGATTGTGGGGCAAAACTGCATTATGTGAAATAAAGGAGCTTGAAAGCATCAAGCACATATTCATGGCACTCATTAAAGAAAATGATTCACCAGCAGAAAAGAAGAGAGGGGAACATATCAAATTATATGTTAGAACCTGAGGTTTATCAGTGGCACCAAAACTATGGTCAGGATGAAAGATTTATTTGAACTGATTAGAATTGAAAGTATGTCTCTACTCTGGCAAATTACCAAAACCAGGATCACGGGGCTCCTTGCTTGGTGTCATGTCAAGAATCTGTAGAAATTTGCTCATTTTACAAGTAAAACTGGATGTGCTGTTCATCTGCAGACTCAATTTGTGTTATTTCTGTCTGATCCCTGTGGTTTGTTCATTACCATCACTGTTTTAGTGGTTCCTGTGGTTATTCCCAAGAATTATGATTATGCCATTTGACTAGTGCCATTCATTGAAAAGCATCTTAAAATGCCGTACAAACGTCACAAACTGATGCATAGCAATGTAGTCTCATAAAGTGACATAGAATTAAGTGAGAACTTCTGCCTATCAACACACACACACGCACACACACACCCCTTCAGAAGTCTGTTAACAGATTACCCTGTCTGACTTAAAATCAATCACACTGTCAAGTACTTCAGCATGCACAAAATTTTTGATGGTGGAGCTACAGCTTGAAATGCTAAATGAAAGTTCAGCTCAGAAATGCTGGTGGCAACTTAAGCAGAGGCTGCCAAGAGAATATGCTTTAAATGAGGCAATCTTTTGTTGCTTTAAAATATACCAGTCAATCTATAGGCTTCTAGAACCTGGCCTATCTAGCAGTGTTGAAAGAAGGGCCAATTTACATCACTGCTGATTATAATGACAGTGGCACACAGAATGATTGAAAAGGGATATTAAAAGATGGCTTTTGAAAAGGAGTGATTGTAGATCTGTTGTAAGCATAGTATAGTAAGGGGCACACAATTGTTAAGGATGGTGCTGATTTTAAAACTGCTGACACTCTGTATAGTTTATTCAGGTGGTGACCTTGCAAACTTACTGCTGTGAGTATTTACTGGGGATGATCTGTGCAAGCAGTGCTTGAAGGATTAGGCCCATAGGGAGCAGGTCCAAAGCCTTCCTTTGTGCACCTAACGTATGTCTAAACTGCAATTTAAATCCCACAGCTGACTCACGCTTGTGGGGCTTGGGCTAAGGGTTTGTTTAACTGTGGTACAGACATTTAGGCTCAGGCTGAGGCCCAGCCTCTAGGACTCTGTAAGGTTGAAGGGCTCCAGAACTCAAAAATCTTCACTGCAGTTAAACAGCACATTGGCCCAAGCCATGTGAGCCTCAGTCAGCTGGCATGGACCAGCCAGGGGTGTCTAATTTCAGTATCAACATCCCCATACCAGCTTCTATGGCAGCAGATTCAGAGCTGTTTTAATGCAAAGGCAGAAAGAAGAGATAGTATTACAAAGGGCAGGAACAGGAGGGTCTGGGGTACATGCACATATCCATCTTCACTGCTGCAGTGGAGACTGGCACATAGGGGTTGACAGAGGCAACTACCTTGTCTCTCTCAGCATGTTCATCTAGGACAGGCCTGGGCAAAATACTTTCCGCAGGCTGGATTTGGCCCACCAACCTGCTGCATCTGGCCTGTGGACGCAGCAGGGAGCCTCAAACAGACTCTCTGCCTGCCCCTCTGTACGGTGCTGAGAAAAGCCGCTGTGGGGCTTTGTTTGAACAGCTTTGAGCCTGGGGAAGGGCACAAAGGCTTCATGCACTGCTCCCACCCCCAGCACAATTCCATTGGCCAGTTTCCAGCCAATGGGAGCTGCCGGTTGTCAAACAAGCAGCTTGTGAAGCACCCTTCCCATCTCCCCTCAGGTTCATACCTGTTCAAAAACAACATGGCTCTTCAGCCAATGTGGGGATGGGGCAGGCAGAGAGTCTGCTTGAGAAGGCTGCTGGTGGTGGGTCAAGCAGGTAAGTCTCTCAGCCAGAGCCTGCCTCTGGCACCCCAAACCTTTGCTCCCCTACCCCACATAACCCAAATCCTCTGCCCCCGTCCTACACTCATATCCCTTCCTAGATCCTGCACCCCAATCTCCTGCACCAGGTCACAACCCAAACCCCTGCACCCCAGTCCTCTGCCCCAAGTCACAATTCCCTCTTGCCCAAGGTCACAACCCAAACTCCTGCACCATAGTCCCCTAACCCAGGTCACAACTGCCTCCTTCACCCAAACTCCCTCCCAGACTCCCATCCTCTTCTGCACCCTAATTCCTTATTGCAAGCTCCCTTCTGCACCCAACCTCCATCCCAGAACCTGTACCTCCTCCATTAATATGGAAGAATGTGGGCTTTTACAAGTTTCCAAATTCTTGGAGTGGCCCCCCATCAAAAATTATTGCCTACCCTGGTCTATGCTACTTGGGCTATGCACTGGGTAAAAGATTTGCCCAAAAATGAAAGACCAAAACAGTCTTATTTTTTGTTTGTTTGTTTGTTTGTTGGATATATAAATTCCAATGCAGTATTTGTGACCCACATGCAGCAGCAATGTATTAGTACGCAAGAGTCACAAACTGGTCTGTTTTCATTTTCCAAAGTCTGCAAAATGCAAACACACTCAGTAAAGAAAATCTAGAAATGGTGACCAGGGAATTGAACGCATAAATCAACAAATGTGACACTAGGAACAAGCAAGGAATATGATTTAAAATATGATTTTTAAATTGACAACATCCATCTAAATATTCTGAAAAAGCATTAATTGGCAATGCCTTTTTCTGTGGCATGTTATCATTGTTGAGTCAGACCTAGTGTGGTAGCTGGCATAAACTCTTGGGAATGTGCAAATATAGAGGAAAAATGGTGGGCAGGTTTTGGCTTAAGATTGCAGCATTCATAGCAGTCTCCCAAACTAAAGAATAAACTAGACTGTGAGCTTTTCTAGCCAAAACCTAGGAAAAAAAGTGTCTTACCTTATTTTCCAGTCTTCCAATCAACTCAGCTAATCTATTAATCTGTGCTTCCAGCCCTTCTTCCTTGGTGTCTGAAGAACCTAATATAAGAAGTCAAATATAAATACACCAAAAAATAAGCCTACACATATGTACTGAGCACATGATTAAGGTGCTTAAAACCAGGTTGACTTCTTAATTTTCCCTCAGAAAGGGCCTGATCCAACTATAACTGAAGTCACTGGAAAGACATTTGAGTTTAGTATTGGCTTCAGGATTGCACTGATATTTGAGTGTAAATTGAGGAAGTGAATAGAAATCACTATATAACACAAACCCAGCTCTGTGCCAGAAGGGTCTTCCCAGGATCAATGGACATACTTCAATTTTTACACAACTATTCTCTGTAGTAGATAGATATTATACTTGTTCTCAGACTGTTCCCATTGGTAACCTGCCATTATCAGACATTGCTTGGCAGCTACCTGGTCTCCAGGCAGTTTACATCTAATTTGGAGCACTGCAGAAGATGCTGAGTGTGAGGCATAGATTGGCAAGATAGCCAGCACAAGACCTGCCATTTCTTCTCAGTTACATAAATCCGCTCTGGGCTGAGAAACTCTTTGCTACAATCACCAGGGCAGTGTTTACATTACACCCATACTGCTGGACATTACAGAATATGAGTTCAATTCTCCGCCCTCTTAGCCTGAGGACTTTGGCATGCTAGATTTTTGGACTGTCTCATCAGAAAGGTGACTAGCTGAGAGGCTTTTTGAGACTTGTTTTAGGAGGAAGCAGGGGCAGGGCACTAGGGAAAACTTCATGGAGACACTTTTAAAACACTGGCTCCAAACGGAAGGAAAAGATGGAGTGCATCCTTGCCTGTGATAAACTTAGCATGGGATCTTCAGTCCAAATCATGCCTTGCAGGAAAGCATTTCCCAGTGGGAAGCTGCTCTGTCCTTTGCTGAATAGAGCTATGCTACTCTCCAAATATCATCACAAAGAGCCAAAGCCAGAACATTAACTAGTTCCGAAAGACAAGGACACAGAATGCAACAACCCTGGGAGTGCATGTGACATCACTGTTGGTAAAAGCTGTGGCAAAGAATCGGTGGTAAGCAGACATGTACCACAGATACACTGGCTTTTGCTGGTGCTCGAAGCTGAGGACCAATTTAGTTAGGGTCTCTGTTTCTGAGACCTTAGGATTAGAAAGTGTGGAGGGATGAGAGGGTGAGGAAGTACTCTCCATATGTCTCATAATGCAAGGTTTCTACAGGGCCTCTTTGTTAACTGATGTGGAAAGGATTATGTTCACAGACAGCGAGCGCCATGGAGATGGATGCAGATCACTGCATTACACACTTTCATGAATATAAATAGAAGCTAGAGATGGGACCAAGCAGCAAACATTTGATCTTGACTTGCTGAAAGTTTGGGATATTAGGGTTGAGGGATGTTTGAATAAGAGATTGAGCTTTGAGCCACTAGAGAGCTGGATTAAGGTGGGCTTGGTGCCAGTTATGCAGCCTGGCTGTGTGTGCATGGTAGCCAGAGGGTTAAAATATTTAAACTTTGGGAAGCAGCTGGATGGTGCTGTGAAGAAAGGAAGTCTGGAGCAGAAGGGGAGGCTGATGGCTGGCTGGGCTAGGCTGAGGGCGGGGGGATGCAACTCTGGTTGGTCTCCAGGCTGGCAGTGTAGGCTAGAAGGGGCTGAGAGCTGGGACTTGGAACTCAGTGGCAGTTTAAACTGGGGTTTGGCTGGCTGTCCCCAGCTGGAAAACAATCTGAGGCTATGGCTACACTGACATTTTTTTCCGGAAGTAGCTATGCAAATCGTGCTCACATTTGCATATCTTCTTCCGATTCTTTTTGCAGAAGAGGTTTTGCTGCTATTTGGCCCCATGTAGATGGGGCCAAATGTTGGGGAAAAAAAACCCTCTTTCACAAGACCCTGTAAACCTAAATTTATGAGGAATAAGGGGTCTTGTTAAAGCAGGTTTTTTCCCGACATTTGGTCCGGTCTATGCAGGGCCAAATAGCGGCAAAACCTCTTCCAAAAAAGAATCGGAAAAAGATAAGCAAATGCGAGTGCAATTTGCATATCTTCTTCTGTAAAAAAAACAGCAGTGTAGCCGTAGCCTGAGAGAGAAAGGCTAGGAAGTTAAGTTGGAAAACAAGAGAGAAGCAACAAAGGACAAAGAATGGCTTCAGATTAGGAAATCAAAAAACAGAAGTATCTGTATTTGGAGAAGAGGGAGCAGACAAAGATGGAAAAAAGAGATCAACATTTTGATTTACTAGCTGAAGATATAAAGATGGGAGATGTTAATCCCATGGAAACAGTGGAGTGGATTTGGTGATGTATCAGAACTATACACGCACAGTATATATTCATTAGTAGAATGAATACATAGACAACAAGATGAGAAACTCCTAAAATGACAATTTTAGGGAAAACAGATGCAATTTGCCAGCTCCCTACATTTATGAGAGAAGCAAAAGGAGTAATGTACGGAGTTCCCATAGATATAACTGAGGATGAAATTTAAAGGGTATATTGGGGAGGACCAAGTGCTGTTTGTTAAATGATTGATTATCAGGAGATGGGGAGAACTCAAAGCATCCACAGCCATCCGAGTAATATTTAAAAATGTAACACCACCTGACTGAGTTAATATAGGGTATCAACTTTTCTGGGTTAAACCATATATCCAAGTCCCTTTGACACAGCAACAATGCCAATGGTTTGGGCATATGGTGGCTGCCTGAAAGGCAAAAATGAGGTATTGTACTCATTGGGAACACTCACAGGAGAGCTGTAGGAAAGGACCACAACTAAAATGCCACAATTGTGGAGATAAGCACAGTGCAGCTTTCAAAGGGTATGAGGAAGTGGGATGAGCTAAAGAAGTACAGAAAATTCTAACAATTCATAAAATACCCCATGTAGGAGTCACTGAAAGACATTCACAGTGAAATGTGGAGAAGGAGGAAAATGCCAGTGAAGGAAAAGAGCCGCCGGTACAATAACATGGAGTTCAGGGCAGGACAGATAATATAAGGAGAATAGATGAAGATGTCTTTGCTTATAGCATTTATGTTAAAAGTGATTAAGAAGTTACTCCACAATGGTTCTTCGAGATGTGTCTCTCCTGTCAGGTGTCGGTATGTCCTTGCGCTGATATGAGATTTTTGGCCTATCAGTGCCTTCCTGCACCACACATGTGCAGGAGCTGTCTCATGCTTTTTTTGTTTGTTAGCTGCACGCACTGCACAAGTCTCCTTCTGTTCCTTTTCTACTGGAAATCCTATAATGGATGCCAAAATAGAGGGGAAGAAAGGAGGGTAGTAGAGCACCCACAGGGACACACATCTCTAAGAACCATCGTTACTGCTCAGGGTGAGTAACTTCTTCTTCTCCTTCTAGTGGTGTTCCTGTGGGTTCTCCATTCAGGTGACTGAAAACAGTACCTACAGCAATGGGGGTGGATCTTTGGAGTCATGTGCCAGAAGAAGCAAGGATGGAGTCACCTACAGATGTGGGAGGTACTAGTCCTTGCTGTAGCACATAATGTTGTGAGTATTTTCGCACAACATTATGTGCTACAGCAAGGTCTAGCAGTGGCCCCATAGATGCTGGCTAGCAGTACATTGTATAAGAAGGCAGTGTGACTCTCTGCTTCAGAGTCTGTAGCAAGTATTTATGCAAGTTGCTATCAATCTGGATATTCATTGTGTGGACACAGCTTTTCCCTTGGTAGAGCTGGACATGGATACGAAAAAGTCTGTTTCAATGTCTGAAAGGGTTAGTCCTATCTATGCAGAATGAGCGCTCTCTTCTTGTATGAAGGGTGTGTAATATCGCTTCCCTCGGGGAGTTGTGTGATTTGGGATGGTAAGTGGGTAAGTAGATGGGCTCATTGATTTGAAAATTGGAAATGACCTTCAGCAAAAACTTAGGATGGGGTCTGAGGATAATCTTATCCTTGGTGAAAAGTGTGTAGGGTGGTCTCAACACAAGGGCTGCGATCTTGTCCACCCTTCATGCCAATGTGATGACAAGAAAGGACACTTTTATGGCCATGTGTTGCACTGAGGCTGTCGCTAAAAGTTCGAAAGGTGGTCTTGTTAATGTGTCCAACACAAGGTTTAGGGTCCATGGTGGAACAAGTGGACATTATATGGGGGTGTGCTTTTAATAGGCTGGCTAGGAACCTCTTCCTGATGGGATGAGTGAACACTGAGATGTCATTTACCGGCTCATGGAAAACAGTAATGGCCAAGAGATGGAGATGGAGAGCCCTGCATCACTGAGATCCATTCAGTATTCCAATATGGTAGGTATTGGGGAGGTATGTGGCTGTAGATGGTGCTGGCAGCACCATTCCTGAAACCTCTTCCATTTGTTTTGATAGGTGTACCTTGTGGAAGGGTGGCGACTGCTGAGGAGGATCTGTTTCACTCTCTGGGAGCAGGTAAGTCTGTCATTCCGGAACCATGGAGAAGCCAGGCAGTGAGCTTCAGATTCTGAGGGTTCTGGTGGTACATTTGTCTGTCATGTTGGGAAGCGATAGGGAGGGCTTTGGCACTTACGGTGCTGAGGAATGCCCATGGTGCTGGATGCTGAGATTCTGCTGGTTGCGGTGCTATCGTGTCCTTTGGCACTGGTGGAGGCAGCATATTTGCCAGTATTGTTGATGCTGTTGGGATGCCCTTTCTCTTTGGTTCCGGCTTGGCGCCGTTTTTTGTTTACGTGCTGTGCCAGATGTTGACGATACCAGAGAGTGCGTGGCATGCGAAGTCAATGTCATGACTGGCAAGGACCATGCTGGAGAGGCTGTATGGGCAATGAATTAGCCTATTTTCTCAGAGTTACAGGTTCCAAAGGGATAGTCATCTTGGCTTCTGGCAGCTGGAGAAATTTCTGCCAGAGCAAGTTTTCAAGCCTCATCTCCCAGTCTTTCCTGGCCCTGGTGGTCATGCTTTCACAATGTGGGCATATCTGCGCATTATGTCCTTTGCCTAGGCACTTTATACATAAAGGGTGTGTCTAGACTACAGGGTTTTTTCGAAAAAAGTGGCTTTTTTTCAA